CCATAGATTCCTGTATGTTATACTGGCATTATCATTTACTTGTAGAAACTGTCTAATTTCTTCTTTAATTTCTTTAATTTCTTCTATGACCCATTGATTGTTCAGGAGGTGTGATTCAATTTCTATTTTTTTGTGGGGTTTTTGCAGTTTCTTATGCTATTGATCTCCAATTTTATTGCACTATAGTCTGATAATATACAGGAAGTAACTTCAATTCTTTTGCATTTACTTAGACATGTCCTATGAGCTAGCATGTGGTCTATTTTGGAGAACGACCCATGTGCAGCTGAAAAGAATGTGTATGCTGATTTTGTGGAGTGGAACACTCTGTAAACAGTGATAAATGTCTTAAGAGAGAGCACAGAGTGCTATAGGGAGACTTTCAGGGAACAGAATGCCCAGAATCAAAATGGAATCAAAATGGGTCAGCATTTCTGATAAACCAGTGGAGATTTACCACCCTGTCCCTTAACCTTCGCTTCAGAAAAGTGATCTCTTCCACATGTCAAAAAATGGAGTCATCTCTTGTACCTCACTTCATAGCAAATCCCAACAATTAACTTAAAATTACTTTGTGATCTTTCTACATTCTCTATGCCCTGCACTTCTTTCTTGCTCAGAAGAGCTTTCTGGATTCCTCAGTTCAACAGGTTATCAAATCATTCAATGTTTTTCTTTTTTCCAGATCCCAACTGTGGACAGAATGTGGCTAAATCACAGCCTTGGAATTACTTAAGCATTTTCAGTCGCATTGTTGGGGGAAACCAAGTGGAAAAGGGTTCTTATCCCTGGCAGGTGAGCCTCAGGAATATTCTCTGGTGGGTGGGCTATGAGATGTCTTGAAATTGGATCACAAGGAATTTTGTGCTATGCATCAGTGCTCCGTCTGCATACCTCTTCACCAAAAATCTCATGAGTATTACAAAGATTTGAGTCCCTCATGATATGCATTAATTGAATTCCACAAAGTTTGTTCAGAATAGTAACATGTATTGTTGATAAAAAATGCCACCCCAAACTTTCAGCTCATAATCAAAACTTCTACTTCAGGAAGCTAAAAACTTAAAAATTTTACTATTAAAAATAATTTTTGATTCAGTAACTATATTTAGAAATATAGTTATGTTTTGTAGTTAAAGAAAATCAGAGAATTCATATCCACAGATCCACTTTGTGTTAGGGTGTAAATCTTTCACTTTATGTAGGACCCCTCAGAATAGTCAAGAGTACTGCCTCCTCAGTACCCAATGTTCTGAAATTTTTTCTTCAATTTAATCTCCTGGTCGTACCATGTCATGACTTTGTGCCTTTGTGTTTCTGCCCTAAGCCCAAGGTGTTTGCATTTATTGTCTTTGAAAGTCTCCCAATTGTCTTTATCCTGGGAGCCATGTTGTAATCCAGCTTCTTAACTTCGCAAATAAAGCAATGCTTTATTTTTAGTTCTCTTGAGATGGTCTTTAACTTTTAAGTCAAAGAATAAATATTAATGATTGGTTGAGTTCTGTTTAGTGGGTTGGCTGAAGAGTTAAGTCATTGTGATTGATTGTCTGGTTAATTACTTGATGGAGCCCTTGATTGATCAGTTGGTTACTCTTTCAAGTAGTTTACCAGTCAGGTCAGAAGTCTGTATTCAGATCATAGTAAGGGTGACTCATTGACTTTTATTACTTTCTTTGTGTTCTATTCTTAGCCTCTCTCTATTACTGCTTTTTTTGAGGGGGTGAGTCTTTTATTGTTGTTGTTTTGTTTTATAGTGTTAGGAATCAGGCCAAGGGCCCCAGAAATTCTAAGCATGTATTCTGCCACTGAGCTACATACATTTTTTCTTTCTCGTTAAATAATTTTTGGTCAAAAAGTAGACTAATCTAATAAATATCTTTTTTGTAATTCCAAAACTGTGAAGATATTCATTGAACATATTTACTTGTACACTGTAAGTCATTTTAGAATCAAATAAAATATCATGGGAAGGATGAACCAAAGATAGAAAGTATGCTGAAGAGGAAGAATAAAGAATAAGCTTGAAGAAGTTATAAGACTCAAATTGTTCATTAAACTATGAGAAAATGGTAGGCCCAAACTATTTCTCTAAGAAGCTTGGGCTATTGGATATGTTTTAAAAGGCTCCCCATCTTGCCTTTTCCCCAAACCTCTTCAGCTGGTCTCTGCTATACATTTTACTCCTTTTAAAAAATTCATAGATACTCTTGATATTGTTAGAGCCATAGATATGGGTCCACATGTTATAAAAATAGTATAAAATAGCAATATTTCTAACTGCCAACTCTACTGAAATGATTATGACCAATTATCTCAAATTAACTACCCCTCATCCAGGCCAGGGCTGGGAAAGCTCAGTCCTTTCTGAGCTGTATTGCACAGGTTTTACCCCTTCGCAGTCCATGAGTCATGAGACTATTTTTCAGGATTAAGCTCAGTCACCAGCTTTTGGAGACTTCTAGGACATTAACTGGCACCCATTTGAGGTCTTTGTAATTCAGGTATCTCTGAAAAAAAGGAAGAAGCACATCTGTGGAGGAACCATCATCTCTCCACAGTGGGTGATCACAGCTGCTCACTGTGTCTCGAACAGGTAGGGAAGACCCAGCTCATCAGTGAGAATCATATCATCCCTTCTCCTTTGGAGGCAGCAACAATAATTCTGTTACAACATGCAGGAGCGCCTCATCGCACGACATAAATGGGATTTGGCAAGATTGTTACATTGCACACAACATAGTAGAGAACATATATTCTTTGCAGAAATATTATATTTTGTTTACTTAAAATGCTGAAGTTAATAAAGAATAATATCCAAGTGAGAGAAAAGATGGGTTTTTGAAAAATTTCTCTAGTTTTTATAAATTTCAGAGAAAACTTATCTAATTCATTATACTTCTTAGGTATATAAAAGAAAATCAAGGGAAGCTAGTAAAATGTAAAGTAGACTCTCATGTCTTCCTTCCTATTATTCTGACTTCTGTGAGCCTCAACCTAGCAACTTGATCCTTTGTGCTAGTAAGCCCCAAAGATACTAAAATGACTAAGACACAATCCCTGCCCCCAGACAGTCGATAACTGAAAAGAAAAAGTAGCTTGGTGTGGTGGCCCCCTTGTAGTCCCAGCTCCTTAGGAGAATGAAACATGAGGATTGCTTGAGTCCAGGAGTTTGGAGCCAGTCTGGGAAATGTAACAAGACCCCATCTCATAAACAAACAAAGAGTTAATTGATAATGTCACTGAATATGGCAGGTGGTAGACCTGAGAGTTGCTATTAATAGATTAGCTACTTAACATAGCCAAGATTCATGGAAGTATACCAAGAGAAAATAATAGCCAATTCCAATTTCAGGTAAAAGAATCACTTCTGAAAATGGAGAATCTCTAACGATGGCAGCCTCAAAGCTCTTAATCCAACTCAGTGCATCCTACTGAGCTCCTTTCAGATGACATTGTCCTGAGGATATGGGGTCTTTCCCATGTCCTGAGAAATTTCTAAATTACAAACTAAAAAAGGAAAGGAGAAGATTTCAACATTCCATTATAGTAATCAGTCTTAAATCCCTGTGTACATGTGCTCTCTGGGACTCAGAGTTATGGTGCTGTGTTTCATAATACAGATCTTACATGAGATCTTTGACACTGAAGCTGCATACTTACTAGGAATCACAAATCATTTCCAAAGGCTCTCACTGGTGTTGAAACTGTATAAACCTCCTACAACCGCTGATTGAATAAACTCCCCTATGGCTTTTAAAGCCCTGAGTTACAATGTGTATGCATCTCTAAGTAATAGAAATAACAATGCAAAATGTTAAATGTATTGTATCATTGGCTCCATATGAAGCCACCATAGGAGTCCTCCACTGGAACCAGGAATTTCTGCATTTTTTTCTAATAGTGTTGAAATCATTCTCATTTTCTCAACTCAGCAGTCTTAAACCTCACATTATCCATCCATGTAATTTTAAATTGGCAAATTTGTTGACCATTTACAACTATACTCAGAAGCTCATTGAAATCCTCCATTTTTCTGCTTCTTCTTTATAGAAACATTGCATCAACATTGAATGTCACTGCCGGAGAACATGACTTGAGCCAGACAGAGCCAGGAGAGCAAATCCTAACCATCAAAACCATCATCATACACCCACAATTCTCCACCAAAAAACCAATGGAGTATGACATTGCCCTTTTGAAGATGGCTGGAACCTTCCAACTTGGTACCCATTTGAAGTGCACCCCGAATTACTAACGCTATATTCCCTGTAAACTCTGGCCCATTGTACATCCTCTACAGTCCATGTTGTGTAGCATGTGACCAGTTTTGTGTTATGTGCTTTGAGATAGTGATTTGGACTGGTAGGTCCCCTATCCTGAGGCTTTGTTTGCTTGTGGTTCTGGATAAGTGGAATCAGGAGAGGGTCTTTGTCTGATAAGTGACCCCAGGAGATGCCAGGCAGATATATCACAATTCTTACAAGGTTTTGGGGCACAGCCAGATCCCAACTGGTGAGTCATTTATGGCAGCCTCTCCTCCATGAATGAGACAAGCCCTGCCTTGGTCTTTTTCCTTCAGGCCAGTTTGTGAGGCCTATGTGTCTTCCAGAGCCAGGGGAACAATTTGAGGCTGGATTTATTTGTACTACTACAGGCTGGGGCCGCTTGACTGAAGGTAAGAAACCCTGTGCTCTTCCTCTTAATCAGAGATCAGAATTTACTGGTGGTTAATCAGAAAATAGAATATTTAATTTATTTCGTAAAAAAACACTGTGCAAATATTTTGAAAGGGAGACTGTAATGTTGTACTTAGAAATTTAGGTCTTTCCAAAAGACATAAACCTGAAGTCAGTTGATGACAATGAATATGTCATCTTCAGCTCAGAAGTGCCTTGCTGGGGCTCCTGTCCCTGTGTTCCAGATGGCATCTTTCCACAAGTCTTGCAGGAAGTGAACCTGCCTATTTTGACTGAGAAGGAGTGTGCAGCAGCTCTACTAACCATAAAGAAGCCTTTCAGTGGGAAGACCTTTCTCTGCACAGGCTCCCCAGAGGGAGGGAGAGATGCATGTCAAGTGAGTGGGAACTGCAGGTCTGCCCTCAGTTTTGTTGACAAGTGATAAAACTGGAATATGGGAAGGAGGGTCAGGATTAGTCAAAATAAGGGGATAGGTTAGACATTCTGTTTTGAGCAGGGAGTGTGAATTCAGAGGAGGTTCAAATAACAGAGCTAATGCCAAGAATAAGCCGAGGGCTCTAACATTTCTAAAGGATTGCTGGATCTTTCCTATTTCGAGATTTCCAATTTGTGGATGTTGGGATCTTTACTTTTCCTCCACTCTTCCTGTTAACTGAGACCTAAACCAAGTCTCATCACTGGGCAGGACTTCTGTGAGTCTGTAGCATGAGTCAAGAGAGGGAAGAAAGTCCGCTGTTTTGATGAAAACCTAGAATGGTGGAGACTAAGCGGGAATCAATAGGCTCCAATGATATTCAAGGATCATGTGGGTATTGTGCTTGGCCGTTCTCTCAAGGCCTTTAGTCTCAATTAGTAGAAGTGAGAAAATGTCATTGATCCTCATCTGGTATTCTTGAGGGGAAAAGTGAGCTCTCTGCAGCATAGACACCGACAATGATGGTAACAGAGGCTTTTTCCCCCTGCAGGGAGACTCAGGAGGTTCACTCATGTGCCGGAATAAAAAAGGAGCCTGGACTCTGGCTGGTGTGACTTCCTGGGGTTTAGGCTGTGGTCGAGGCTGGAGAAACAATGGGCAGAAAAAAGAGCAAGGATCTCCTGGGATCTTCACAGATATTAGTAAAGTGCTTCCCTGGATCCATGAGCACATCCAAACTGGTAATGAAGCCATCATGTGAGGTTAAGAAGCTGCTGTTCTGCTAGGGCAGAGAGCACCAGGCAAGTCAGGACCACAGGGCATAGCCTTCCACTTCTGTCCCCAGGGTAGTACATAAGGATGTAAAATTTACTGTCCAAAACAATAGCAAAATATGAAATGTGGTGCAGTGCACAAATATTCAATGAAAAATAAATCCATCTGTTGTAGATTTTGTCAATCACCTGATAATATTTTTATTTTTGGTTTATTTTTACTTCTTAACCATCTTAGGAAGATTCAGCAAGATGTAGCACATAACAATCAACCAGGGGCAATTTTGCCACCTAGGTAACAACATTGGGAAACATTTTTGGTTGTCACTACTTGGCATCAGGTGGGTAGGGGCCATGGATGCTGCTAGACAAAGTGCAACTCACAGGACAGACCCATCTTACACCAAATGTTAATAAGGCAGAGGTTGGGAATTCTTGGCATAGAAGCAGACATAGTTAGTTTGAAAGGGCCAGGGTCTGCACAAAACCTTCTACTAAACTAGTCAGGGAATAAATTTCAGTCTCTTCAAACCCAACTAATTGTTTTTTTAACCAGTGCCTTCCAGTCTCAAAAGGGCTTTCATCCTTTCCCAATGAGGTTAATTCAAATTAATTCAGTAGGAACTTGGATTTGTTTTCAAGAGTGTGGCCCAATGGTAGGTATCTAAGCCATCAGTTCAAGTTGCAGCTGTTCCGAAATTCTCTTGAGGTTTTAGGCAAATTATTTCTGTATCTAGCCTCTAATCTTGTGTGGCATAACCTCTCCTTGCTCTCTGTAACTGCCAAGTTTAGAACAACTCTTTCTTAATCAGGTCACTCAATAAAGTGAGTAAAATAATCTCTGTAACACATCAGGGCCCCTTTCCAATTTTTTTCATTTACCCTTCCTGTTCTTTCTACATGTTAGATTTTTATTATTGTATTTTTGAGCGAAAGAGATGTTCGCTTCTTAACATATCATTCAGAATACCACAAGCTTTGGATCGCCTTTCTTTTTCTTTCCCAGGGCATCAGAGGAAGAGCTCCAGAGGTAAGTATTGCTTGCAGTCTGCTCCACCTGCAATATGAATTAACATTTCCAAACATTGGCCCCTTTTACAATCAAGGCTTCCTTTCCAAATTTCCATGCTGACTAGGTACAAAAGTACCAGGTCCACCCACAGCCATTCCCTGCCTATCTGGGCTGTTCCACACCCAGGATGAGCCCTGGATTCTCTTCCATTCCCCTTCTTGTAAATCTAGAGCCCCATCTAATTCAGCAAATTATTCGTTTTCCAAACCCTAGCTTTGAATCAGAGACTCCAGGGAAGTTGTTCCTGCTGATACATGGGACTCATCTGTGTTACACTCACAATGAATTTACTCTGTGATTTTTGGCAAGCTCTTTCTTATCTTGGGTCTCAGTGATCTCATCCATAAAGAAAAGAAGTCGGACCAGATGGTCTCCAATGTGTATTTAGCTCAAATCTGAAATGGTTCCTTGAGTCTGTTGAACTGCTAACACAAAGTAAATATAGTAACATAGTATCCCAAGAGTTTAGAATAAGAAGAAGCTGCATCTAGATGGAAACAAACAAATAAATAAATAAAGGGAGACTTTGAAACATAGATTTTTTTTTAAGTTGAACCTTGTCAAATGAATAAGATATTGTCAAGCAGAAATAAGGTATGGTAAAGAAAAGATTCCAGCTATAGAAATCATCCCTATCAGAAGATGGATATTAAAGGTTAGACACAGAAAGATGTAGGGTGTCATAGAGACAAGTAAATCAGTCAACATAAATTAAGTGTAGGATGTGAAATAAAGGTCTACGAGGAAAAAGAAAATGGCTAAGATAATTTGAAATCAAATTATGGAAACTTCAAACATCAGTCAAAAAGTTTATAATTTATTGAGTAATAAGAAGTTATTTAATTAGATGCATATATTAGCCCTATAATTTAATGATATAAGAACAGCATGTAGGAGATGGATTAATGGGAGACTAATTCAAGGAGGATTGATAAAATTATGTATTAGTGCAAGAGACAAAAAATAAATGTTCAAGCAAAGACAATGGCAAGAAAATGAAAAGGAGGAAATAAAAAGGAGAAAAATTATAACTTTATAGTCAATTTTAGAAATAGTAGTAAAAAAGAGGAAAGACTTAAACTTGATTCTTTGATAATATCAAAAATTTGAGCATCAGAGCCTCAGGAAAGGACACATGGAAGCAAGAACATAGAAGTGGATGTAATTTTGCTGACCCTGAGGAATTACACTTGAAGCAGGTTGAGTTAGAGGAGAGATAATTGGGAAACTACTGTACAATCAGTCTCAAATTTGGAGAAGTAGAGATAATAGTTGAAACCAAAGGTACAAATGATACTGGTCAGAGGGCTTAGGTAGAGAGAGGAGATGAACCAGGATAGAGCCAGGGAAATAGCTGTATCTGTAGAATGAAGTTATGAGATCTGAGAAAGAAGAATGAAGGAGAAAAGAATATCACAGAATCTCAAGATGAAGCAAGCTATAAAAAGAACATAAAAGAATAATGCACCATAAACAGCAGCAGAGAAAGAGTTTATGAAGAATGGAAGCAGCTGTCAAGAAGAAGCAGGAGGCTCTAGGGCCCTCAGCTTCTGGAACAGGTGCCACTGTGGCTGACTGTTACTGTCAGCCTTGATTCTGTGGTTTTCCTTCCAGCCTCATGTGCTGAGCAAGATGGAGTAGTCAGCCAGTCTGAGGGGGATCTGCATTTCCCAGAAATCGTCCACCTGTACTATGACAGCAAGCAGTGAGTAGCCCCCTCTGCCATCCTCCCTCAGACTCCCACCTCCAATCTGGCTGTGCCCATTAACTGGACTGTGACAGTCACTTTGTCTAGAAGTAACACCCTGTCTGTGTGTCTGCCTGCAGAGTGTGTGTCTGGACCCTGTTGGTTCCAGAGGAAATGCACATGTTGCTCAATTTTTTCCGCTTGGATGTGGAGGCGTGCTGCCACAGTTATCTGGCAATGTATTCTTTAGAAGACAGACTCATTGGTGAGTGGATTTTCACATTGTCAAATGGAAAGCAGTGCTAAGTGGGTTTACAGGTTACAGTGTGTTGAGCACTGAGTCAACTGCAAATGCCATACTTCTCATCTCCAATTTTGAGACTCAGACTGGGAGTGAGGAGGAACTGAATCTGAGTTTGTTGATAGCTGCAAGGCCATGGAGAATTTCACTTTCTGCATTCTGCTTCCCATCAAACCAGTCTTTCTAGACCTAAATCCCATTAGGAGTAAAATCTAAATATATTGCAGGGTTCCTTAGGGCCCACAGGCAGAACCTAGGCTGAAAATGACCTTGCTTCATCAAGCTAAGAAGATACCAATAAATAACCAAGAGGAAGAAACAAAGCTTACTTACATGAGAAACAGAAGTGGAGTAGCATTTCTGTGGTTCTCAACTAGAGGTGATTTCGCCCCCATCCCAGACATTTGGCAATATCTTAGAAACACTTTCGGATGTCACAACAGGAGACATTTTTGGTACTGGGGATTGAAATGGGGACCTTGCACCTGTGAGGCAGGCGGCGGAACCACTGAGCTAAATCCCCAGCCCCACAAGACAGTATATTAATTAATGGTAGAGGTCAGGACGCTACAGAAATCCTATTAAAAGCACAGGACACCCAATAGTGCCAAGGTTGAACCACCCTGGGTTAGACAAATCTCCAATTTCATGGCCAGTTCAGTTCTCAAGTCACTTAATGGGTGCTGTTTTGTAGAATTTGAACAGTGAATCTTCTTTCTTGTGTTGCAGGAAAACTCTGTGGAGAAAGCCTTGCTTCATCCATTCTTGTGGGCTCCAATTCTATAAGGCTGAAGTTCTTCTCTGATGCCACAGATTATGCCACTGGGTTTAATCTCACCTATAAAGCTCTTAGGCCCAAATACCTGCCTGGTAACACCATTTACTTTTACCACATACTATCCAGACCCTCTATAGAAGTTCTGGCCCCATAGGATCAGGTGGAGTCCATTGCAGAGAGGACTGTGCATCGTCAAATGGAAAGCACTTGAGCAGTGTGCAGTCTCTCCTTCCATAACTCATATTTATCACTTACCCATGTGAACCAAGAGAGTCTGAAGAGCTCTGGAAAAATCAGTGCACCAGCCTCTTCCTTCCTGATGGCTCTTTCTGAAGTTTCCATCTACATCATTTGTGGGGGACAGGAGGGAGAACACTGGGAATTGCTCTTTCTTTGGTGGTGCCATTCTTTCTTTTCTTTTAGGCTTTTGTGTGTGTGTGTGTGTGTGTGTGTGTGTGTGTGTGTGTGTGTTTCAGATTCTGGCTGCAGTTCCTTAACTGT